TTTCAACATGTTTTTTTGTTTGTGTGAATCGACCCCTTTAATTTCAAAAACCACGTACACGGGGGAGCAGTATGATAATTGGATATGACCCTTGATAATCAATGTATATGTACTCCTGGTAGTAGCCTATCATACTGTCACCAATGGGCAGTTTTATAAGGTCAATGAAAAATGTCCCCTCAGTCAGTCAATGTAGCTTCCTTATACTTCTTATACGTACCTTTCCACTGTATTGTAAAGTAGCATTTTCATCACAATACCATTTTACTGAATTGTCTAAGCTTGAGTTTTTCGGCGTCAATTATATTAGGCCATTCGTCGCTGCTAGATTTGATAGGTAATGATCAATATTATTAAGTTAAATAAATAAATAAATAAATGAAGGAATTTTTAAGTTGTGCTGTCCTTAGTTAAATCAATATTAGGTTTTACTTCTATGCAAAAAATGGTTTTGTATCAGTGTTTCTTGTAGTGTAATGCTGCTAGAAACTACACAATCAGATGTACATAGTGCTACCACCTTGTTATGAAGCAATTACAAAACACATTTAGTCATCTAACAATTGACCAAGCACTAGAACATATACAGAAATAAGAACAAGGTCGGACGTGACCTCGTTTGAATAACCAGATCACAACATACTTTGCGGAGCCGTTTTGTTGATGAGATTTATGCAGAAGATGTTAAATACTCACCTGTAATGAACGATGGTGGACCTTCCAGAACAAAACGTGATAACCAACCATAATGTGCAGAATAGTAAGAAGGTTTGGCGTTAACAGCAAAGATAACCAAGACGTAGTGCGTTTGGATAAACTTGATATTGCGATTTTAAAATTGCTATTATCGACTGCACATTCGTCGTGTAGTTAAGATTAATCACTTTGTGAAAACCCGGCACAGAATTCCATTTAGAATAATTCAAGAGTCAAACCCTGCAAAATCCATGTCCAGTGTTTAATAGTATACCAAGATGCTGTTGCTGAAGATGATCTGAATCAAATGATCTGTCAAGAACTGTCACCATTCCTAGTTCCAGCCGTTACGTTGGAGCTGCTGCAACAAACAGACAAAGCTTACTAGATGTGCTTGATCACCTCATTGGTACTTCTTCCAGAGTAGATGTTGTGTTTGACCATGATAATCCAAATACAATAAAAGATGTTACACGAGTTAGAAAAGCTAGGGGTAGCAGGCCAATTCGGCGCAAAATTACTTGCAGAGATAAAAATAAAGCTGACCTCTCAAAATCCTTGAGCCATCAACAGCAACAGCAAATAAACAACATTGTGTTTTACTATATGGAATCAAGATAAATAATGCAATTCCCATGAAAATGCCATCATATCACGAAGTAACACGATGACAGTTCTGTTGACTTGGTCAAACGTTCACTTGGAAACTTTTCGAAGCATATGATAATTTGCTAAATAAGGTTGGCGTTGGTACCGTAACTGATACGACAATGGGAAAAGTGCAAAACTTGTCTGCTGACTCAATGATGTCTGCTACAGAGTCTTTTTAAGATCAGCAAATACCCCGGAAGGTTGCGACCAACACATCTATCCTTGTAACACAAATTAACGTGCAGCCTACCAAAGCATGGTCTGATATGTATCCAAAATGTCTTCCACTAATACATTGCCGTAGAAGCTGTTACACAGTTAGGTGATGTACTGAGACCCGTGTTTGTATTGAATCCAAATATTGAGAAGAACTAGGAACATTCCACAACTACTGCAGTGGTGATATTCATCTGCACATGGAAGATTACATCTAATATAAAATGTATAATTAATCATGTTTAGTTTATTTGTGAAAAATATGCCACTACAAACTTGTTTTAGTATATAATAAATATGGTTTGTATGCATTGTATACGCGCATGTCAGTTTAGCTGATATATTTTTTAAGATACTGGTTATGACACTGGTTTGCATAATGGGTTAAGTTTGAGTTTTAGAATTACCCGGTTAATGTATTCAGTATAATTGGTGTAAACTAATAACTAGCATGGGGGACTGCTAACATTGCAATGTCTCTAAAGTAAATTCTAGTTTTTTTATTTATTAACTAATTATTTTATTTACATAGGCCCCAATTTGACACCTTACTTGAAGATCTATGATCACTTGATACGATACATTGTTTTTAATGAATGCTCATAATTCGAAGTTGAATAAGCATTATCTTGGACAACATAATGCAAAGTCCCATATACACATTGGTCTAAAAATCATTTCTAGATAATAAATATATCATAGCCTTGTAAATGGGGTTTTATTCTCTCCAGAGTTCAAAATATAATGTCTTTATTTATTGGATATGTATGTTATTAACTGTATATAATTTTGATTCACAGACCTATGCTGATATTATTTATTACATTCAGCATGAATTAATTATGATTTATTAATACGATATTTCAATGGATGAAAACATGGATGCTATTCCAGATCATTATATGGATCATCGTCGAACCTTTTTTGCAGAAGCTTTGCAGTGCCATGACTTTGACCGTCTATTCCTCACCAACAACATTACTTTGATAGAAGAGATCCAGTTGTAAATATCAAAGGGAGTAGAGTAAAAAACGTTCCCCGGTAACTATTCATTTATTATATGAGAAATTTTTTCAGCTACGTGAGCATTTGGGTGCGTGATGGGATTATATTTTAATCTCATGCTACAGTGCTTCTGCGTCCAATTTAAACTAAGATACGGCTTTTTACGGAATGGCATATTCTATTCTGGCGCTATATGTATACATACATATACGTGTCCGGTAGTCCATAAAGGACACATACAAACGAAACAACTAATTGACCAAAAAGATAAAGGATGTGACTATAGATCAACAGACTCATCTCTCTCTATCGCAGTTATTTGATTTAGTGTGTTGTGTTAAGTAAACACAAATTTTCCAAGTATACATCCCTAAAAAGATGACGACGAAATGGGCTTCATTCAAACTACACAAAGTCATACACACAGACAACTCCATATAATAGGATATATACTAAATGTTAGCTAACTGTAATAATGTTTTCGTTAATGAGAGTTTATAAGTTTATAATTGGGTCAGATTGGCCCAATAACTTGATGACATTTTTAATAAGAATACTCCAACCTGTGACAACCTTAACAAATATGTTTTATTTATACTAAATATGAGGCTTTGCTAATGAACTTTATGACAACAGGCTTACATCGGTAATTGATCTAGACATACCAACTTATTTCAATATACAATGAAATAGCAATAGTTCATCTAAATTGGCATTGACCAGTTATGCTCATTATTCAAAAGCATATCTTCTATATACATATAGTAAGTTATATAGTAAGTTTCACAAAGTTTGTACACTCTAAACGTTCATTCAGCCAATCGGACGCGGGGGTTTGGTACATTTTGAGCTCAGTCGTCCGTAGGCCATCGCAACAGCAACGTCACTTTTACCAACATATGCAGTCATTTCTGCATTTTATTAGCAGAATAATTATAAACAAAAATAGAACATGCATTAAAATTGTGTCTATTGCAAGACTATTCAACCAACAACCAGTTCGGTGCTACTAGTTTCGTGCAGGAGTGATTTATATACGTCTTTTTATTGCGTTTAAAATTGTCGAAATGTATATTAATTAGGTAACTTGTCACTGGTAAATCCGTGAATTTTGTAACTTGCTATGATCAAGTAACAGGAAAGGAGGGTAGTTGCTTTCAAAATTTTGCGTTTCAAAAAACAAAAAAATTCAGTTCGTGACGATACAATTTAGAATTATTACCATGTTAGCTATCGGAAAGCATTTTGGCACAGTTTTACTGAAAAGACGATTTTTATGAATATTATTTTATGCAAATAAGTTTTGTTTCAGCCAATGTAACATCCCCATACATATGTGCACAGAGATAAATATGTTAATATACTATTCATGTGCATTCAAAGAAATTATTGCTGACGGAGGAAATCCAAACATATACCATAGAACCTGATTATGAGTATAATGCAATCGAGTTGTCCTCAGCACATTTTTCATGGAATAAAAAGAGTCAGAATGATCGTACATCTCAATCTCAAGATAGTAGTAAAATGACGAGCAATTATCTTGGTAATGCCAGTCAACATATCGAAGACAATGTAACATATCAACTTAGCCGTTAACAAGGTGAATGTATATTATGCTTGTAATGTGTAACTGTTCTTTGCATTTCTTGATTCAGAAACTTTTGAAATTGCTTTTGATTGTACAATAAAATTCTAATACTTGACTATATCAAAGATACTGTGATGAATATTGTAGACCTACTGTGTGTACTCTTTATTCAAGCATAATAGCGTAATATAATAAATTTATGGTATCTTGTATGAATTTGCATATAAGATCATCGTGTCTGGGTTCGTTTCCGTACATGTTTTTCATTGATAATGACGCCACACACTATGTATATGCCTTATATGGTGAATATAAAATATAAAACAAATTAATATCAATGTAAATTTTAAGGAATATTTATAATATAAATGTAAATTTTAAAGAATATTTCTGCAATTTAATCACTTTCTGTTGAATTGTGTTTTATGATGTTGTGTCGATCAAAACTGTTGATTCGTTCGCATGCAAGCTGGGATTTCTTCAAATAATATATTAACATGTGCTGACATACAAAGACATATACACACTCATATGTTATTGGAAATAATACTAATATTCATTGAATCGTAAACATTAATTGACAAAATGGACAAATATGAATGTGAACAAATTTGTTCAATTGTATTTGAACTTTGTACATGCCTAATATTTAGCTAATTTGATGACCAATTCACTCTCTTCGATACCGTATACTAGTTTGAACAAATATGTAGTTTTGAAGTAATTCCATATGCATCAGTCTAGGTAAGATTTAGACTTCAATAGTTGTATTAAGTACAGACAAATTTTGAATTCTATTCAGTGGAAACAATATCTAGTATTTTCGCATATTGTATTTCAGGGTCAGATGTTTGGGATATGTGGTAGTGTAGATAGTGGTAAACAATCGCTTATATCGGCCATATTATCTCAACTGCGGCTAATAACCGGTAAAGTTGCCATTGATGGTAGAATGGCTTACGTATCTCAACAACCATGGATTTTTAATGCTATATTTAAAGAAAACATATTGTTTGGTCTTCAATTTGATAAGCAGTTATATGAGAAATGTATACATGCATCATGTCTTCAAGACGATGTTCATATCTTACCAAATGGCAGTGAAACTGAGGAATTTATTTAATTAAATTGTCACTATCATCTTGAATAATTATTCAGATAATTCGAATACCATGTATATAGTTTTGCCAATAACTTCATAATTGTCGAGTTTGTGAATGAAAATTATTCATGTTCTTGTGTTTGTAAGTACTTTTTAAATTGGAGAGAGAGGTATGAATTTGAGTGGTGGTCAGAAACAGAGAGTGAGCTTAGCAAGAGCCTTGTATTCTGTAGCGATATATACTTACTAGATGACCCACTGAGTGCAGTGGATACACACGTTGGGAAGCATATTTTAAAACATTATGTAATGGACGCTCTTCATGGTAAAACAGTGTTATTTTTACTCATCAGTTGCAGGTGAGTGAGTGCATATTTCTTGGTGTTTTCATGCTTCATATTAATTTCCAAGCTTAGATGATAATATAGTAAGTGTTATTGACACACCACTTTATATGGCTGTGTGATTACATTATACACCGTCGTGATACTGATCAATTTGCTACACTTTTATTTTCAAAGAAAATTATGATTAGACATAATTGCCAAATCAAAAAAAAAATGAAATACGTGAGGTGTGGTATTACATACTTTGAATTTTTTGTTTCTTATTTATTTAGTATTTGAGCGGCTGTGACAAAATTCTAGTTGTGCAAGATGGCAGAATTCATGAAAGGGGAACACATTAGCAATTAATGAATTATGGTGGTCATTATGCAAATTTAATAAAGCGTTTCCACAGTAAAGAAGTTACAGAATTGAATAACACAATTAAATAATGTAGTTTATGTTGATGCATATGCCACATGTGCTCACAGTGATTCATCCATGAGGCTTAATAACGCGTCACAGATATCAGTTGGTATTGCACATAATAATGAGGAGGAGGGTATGTACTAGTGAAATCATGGTTTAAATAAATTCGTATAAAATAGTATACAGTAGCGTTATTAATCAATTAATCGATTTGTTTGCTAAATATACTTAACTAGAAACTGGTAAATTAATGACAAAAGAAGAGCAAGCAGAAGGTGGTGTAAAATTGGCAACGTATCATGCTTATATAAAATACGCTGGAGGATATCTGATATCAATCTTCACAATATTCACAATAGTTATTGTAACTGGTTGTGTTGCCGCTAGTAGTTGGTAGCTTGGTTACTGGATTGCTCACACTACTAATCAGGTAATTCATCAGTGTACAAAAGCAAACTTGACATTATTTGTTATTATTGTTCAAACATTCAATTTCATATTTACAGGTTGTGTACGTGTATATTTCTTCTCAAATAGGATACCAATAGCACATATACAAATGAGGCTTTTACTACTGGCTTTATAACAGAGAATACAGATACAGCGTATTTTGCTTATACGTATACTATCATAATTGTAATTATGATTATGTTTGCTATTGTCAAATGTGTTCTATATGTCATGGTTAGTGTCATCATTTTGTTTTACACAAGTACATGATTCCATTGTGTGTTTTGTCTGTTTCTTTTGACAGGAGTGAATGGATATTTAAAAAAAAATCGTACATGGTATTATAATATTAACAGTATATCCACCCTTCAAAACTCAAACAAATATATTGATACTCATACTGACGCCATAACTTCCACTAATACTAACGATTTTTGTTGTTGTTGCTGTCATTCAAATTTAAATATACTATACTGAGATGTATTTAACTGACACAATCATATTACACTGAAAGCGGCAACTAGATTGCATAACGAAGTTTTCAAAAAAATGTTCCAAAGTCCAATGAATTTGTTTGATACTACGCCCTCCGGACGAATTATAAACAGATTTTCAAAAGATCTGGATGAAGGTGAGCAAGAAGTTCCTGATGTTCAATTTAAAAAAAATATTTTCCCAATTGATGCTACTACAAATTAAAATCTACAATAGAGTTAGCTATAAATGCACCAGTATCAATTACTAGAGTAATGGTCTTCTTGGTTCTATATTATCAATGTATAGTAGAATACAAAGAATAATTGAGAATAACCTCATTGCATATATTAGTCTAAGAGCACATTACAACACGAAATACATAGATCAGATTGCTCTATAAGACCAAATATTTTACATTTAAAACATGCCCAAATTCCAATATGGGGTTTTGACACAAATATATGCATACCACAGATACCAATTGTGTGGGGATTGGGAAACCACATATGAAATTGTACAGTGAAACGATCATTTGCTATGTTCATCTGAAATACATAGGGATGGTAACATAATTCTTACATCTCTGTTTTAACTGGATTTTAGCACACGTCACTGAAATGCATGCGGGCTAGTGTGATAAAATATGTTTTTCAGTTGTGTCAATTATAAAAACAATATAATAAATAACAATATTCTATGTTTCCTTTTTTTACAGTTGGAGTACACTTGCCGATTTATATTGCACAGGCGATTACACTATGTAGCGCTCTATTTTTTTCTTTTCTGTCTATATCTTTGGTATTTCCGTGGTATCTGTTAGCCTTCATTCCTTTTAGCATAGTTTTGTCTTGTAGCTTATTCATACTTTCGACATGCAATGCGTGACCTAAAGCGACTTGACCATATTAGTAGGTCACCTTGGCTTTCACACATGACTGCAACTACACAAGGAGTTTCTACTGTTCGTGCATACGGAAAATAAGGGGAATTCAGCAAAAGGTGAGTTGGCTTCATATATTCCTTTTGAATTTCATTCATATTATTATTACCATATATCACTTGGTTTTTAGTCAGTGTGATTTGAGTGACATCAGCGGCGTGTATTATCCACTAATCTTCCTATTGTGAATAGTGGAGACCATGACGCCACTGGAATATGAACAACTAGTGTGAACAAATTATAATTGTACAGATCAAACGAAAATGTCGCTTGATTTGGTTTCCGTCGCGTACTGTTTGATCTCACATAGCAAGATAATGTTTGTTGTGCATATCGCCACGCATTGTATAAAATAATATATATATATATATATATATATATATATGTCATGAACTATATTGTATGTAACTAATTTATGTTCAGATTTGCAGATGTTTAATGGCGTGATTTGTTTATAGCAATTTGGCATATATTAGGTTCCTTGTGAAAAATGATGACGTCGAACAGGTGCCATGAAACAAATGATTTATATTTCTGAATTGTATGTGTATATGTCTGCACGTACTGTTTAGTTGTTATTGTTTGTTTTCAGAACTTAACATCTGAAGGTCCAGTAGTAACTGAAAATAGACCGTCCGATAACTGGCCTCACGCAGGTGCAATAGAATTACAAGAATTGAAGTTGCGCTTTCGCGAAAACCTCCCTCTTGCTTTAAGGGGTGTCTCCTGCAAAGTAGAGTCAATGCAGACAATCAGAATTGTGGGTAGAACTGGAGCAGGTATGGACCGCAAATAACAATCATTAGCGACAATGTCTAGATGAATTTCAGCGATCATTTCAGTTATACCACTTTTAGGGTTGTCGATATTTTTCTATTCTTGCCTTCATTATTTGGAAAGCGACACTTTTCAGTTTCCTCGTCTTCGACTGATTTATATGTAAATTGGGTAGTTTTGTTTAGTGCTGTCCCCGTCCACTGGTTTATCGGGAAGTTTCAGGCCGAAGTTGTTCTCTCATTATAAACGTGCATAATAGTGCAATTACCTCTTACTTTTTAAAACATTGTTGTAGTGGCAAACCGAGAACTAAAACCACGTTTCTTCTAATTAGCCAAGCAATTCTACTAACTGAGGTAAGAAAGGTATAGATGAAAGATTGCAATGAGTATCCCAGAATAACATATGCACCATGTAAGGCATGCCGGGTGCATTATGATCGTTTCTCTGATCTGACATTATCCATATATAAATCAACACGGGGTCTGTAGCAAATTCACCGCCAACTGTGCGTATATGTATATTTACAACATATTTCAAATTGTTTGCTTTCAAACAAATTGTCGAGAAATTAAATTTTAATAAATGGTATATAATAAATGGAGCTACAGAACAGAACACACAATCCTGAAAAAACATTAATATTTTATATAATGCATTAACACCATTTTTTTAATTACAGGAAAAACTTCACTTGGTGCTTGTTTATTTCGTCTGAGGGAGCTAAATTCCGGGGCTATTTATAATGATGGTATTAATATAGCGTCTCCAGTATTACAAGATTTGAAATCAAAATTGACAATAATTGCCCAAGATCCTGTTTTGTTTGTTGGAACTGTCAGGATTGATTCTATGAATAATACTTGATACAGTGTGTGTATTTTGATCAATCGGGATTATTTCCAACTAGTTATCTAACTCAAAACCAAACCAGTAGTAAGAGTATGTGTTTCTCAAATTGTAGGTATAATTTGGATCCATTTCAACAATATTCTGATGATGAAGTTTGTTCAGCGTTGGAAAAATGTTACATGAAAGACACGGTAATCTCACATTACGAACATATAAATGCGAACACACACTAGATTCAAACTCACAACCAACTTATTACGACTCGTATCAGTTTTCTCTAAACAGCGTGCCTGAACGCACCCTCACAGTAACTAGAAGAGCATCCGTCAGCTGAATTTTCAACTTCTTGGACATATGTATATTACCATGTATATATTAATTTGGGAAAAGTAGTTTATTCTGTTCTATCGATGAGCAAAAATATGTGAGCTTCAATCTATGCAACCACTCAATCTTAAATTATTCGGATCAAGAAATATATACCCTTCTGAAGAATCTGTCATAATAGTCCTAGCTTGATTTTTTCGGACTGTTGGAATTTGTACACGTGATTAATAGCATTATTCGGCAAATATAGTAAGATCATATTATAACATATTGGCCATTGTGTTTATCTTGCGTTTGTTCCTGACAAATCGTAATACTTATAATCGTAATATTTTATGAACGATGTAAAGTGACATAATTTATATCTGACATATAACGCCCTCCACAAAAATAGATAACTTTGTCTAACTGCATGGGTTATTAAGGGATTATAACACATCTTCCACACAAGAGACGATATAAGGTTATACAAACACGATTATGTACAAGATTATAGTACCAGGGCTCAACTGGGTCTTCCTCACAATACATTATGTGTGTGTTTTACTGGGATATAACATTATCCGCAAAAGAGATGTCACCGGCAATTCCGACCAAAGACAACAGTTTCGGGACCAAAATGTGTGAATGACTTTAGGTATCAAAAGAACGAGGTAAGCAAGTTGTGGGCGTCTCACTTTCTAATAAAAATTGCATACTGAATTAGTACTATGCGCTAAGAGTTGCATAATAATCTACTTATGAACATTCACAATTTGGCTCCGAACATAGTATCAAAAAAATAGAACCAGCGGTTGTATTTGGAACAACAGTCAGTTTTGAAAACGAATATCGAGTATTTGTACAAACCTAAAATAGTGCATTCTAACTGGTAAAAATTGTCAGGCTGGAATTAATTAGTAAAATTGGTGTTACGTTTACATAAATTGATCTTGTCAAATTCGTACAATATTATCATTATTGAATTATTGATGCATTTACTCCATCCCTCATTTTGTGAATTAACTATGATAGGTGCGAGAACTGGAACATAAATTGAATGCCCTTGTTGTTGAAAATTGTGACAACTTTTCCGTTGGTGAATGACAACTACTGTGCATGGCAAGGGCATTGCTCAGAAAATCTAAGGTAATGACATTTAATTCCGCATTGCGTTCTCGTCTAGGGACTTCGTGAGCTAGTTCCCGTGATAAACTGTTTGATTACATCTCCTGTACTTCCGTATGATATTCAGTAATTGTATGAAAAAATAAATGTATTAGACCACATATATACATTTGAAGTCATCGCAACTGTTCTTGGAAAATTTCTAACATACTGTTGTTGTTGGTATGTAGATATAAATATAGGTCGTCTTGTATAGATCCGTTGACTTTATGAAATCAATCATTATATACATATTTCGATATCATTTGGTACAATTTGAAAATAAATAGGTTACTGACTGATTCACAGGGTTTAGTATCCCACATTTATAGTAACAACAGTAAGTGAGACATCAATTTAAATGTTATTAATAACAGTATTGTTATGTTTCACTCTTAGATAGTCATGTTGGACGAGGCCACTGCTTCCACTGATACAGCGACTGATAGTCTTTTACAACAAACAATAAGAGACGCATTTCAAGATTGTACTATGTTAATAATAGCACACAGGCTGAACACTGTATTGAATTGTGATAAAATTATGGTCATGGATAAGGGAAAGGTAAACAGCAACATATTGCAATCAATGTGAATAATACGTCATGTACATACTGTTAGGGTAAGTTGTAGTTAGACAGTGTGTATCCGCACAATGATAATGAATTAGCGTGTGTTACTGTTAGGTGTGTTACTGACAATGAATTTCCTTTTTTTTTATTCTAGATTGTTGAGTTTGATGAACCTTCAATACTTCTTGCTAATACAAATTCAAGTTTTAGTTCATTAATGTCAGCCGCTGAAACAAATGTTTATATACAATAACTGACTGATTTTAACAAGGTATAATAACAGTCTGTCTCGAAGATATACATTTCAGATGAAACATTTTTTTTTAAATATTTGATATCATCATTCCAAGCTTTGAGGTAGACACGGGACTGGCCACTTCTACCTTCATAACAGCTTACTTTCTTATTCAAAATTAAATTTAACATAAATATATTTTTGTTGGCATTTACATGTAAAACAATTGGGAAAGATAATGAAATACAGGACAAAAACTCCTAATGTACAATTGGTTGTTTCGAGAAACTATTACATGGACCAGTTCAAACACAGATGCACGGGACACGTTCAAAATAATCATATAAACAGTTATTATGCTAACAAATTCAAAACATTAAACCCGAACCTTGATATCTGGTAGTGTTTGTCAGTGTGTACAATGTCACGTTAGGCCATACTTTTATTATTCCTTGTTCATTCAAATTTTTATTTCACGCAATTTCTCGCGCCCTCTGACTCGTAAGTGCAGAAAATTGCTGAACATTTTTTTTTATCTTCATTTTTTTTTGCCGCCCGCCGCATAACAAACCCAAGTTACATTTTCGTGGGAGTATCATGATGAAAGTACCGAAGTCTCGCGCAGATGAGAAACATGTTATACATGGAATAAAATTCATTCATATAGAGTTACATTGACAGCGACGCTGTTAACATGGGTTACTCCTGACGAGATTGCTAAGTCCTTCAATGGCGTCACAGCTGCACGCAGGGTGGGCGTAAACAGTTAGCTGAAACACTAGCGTAGACAAGAGACTCCCGGGAACTCGGTTCACCACTCCAAAGTCACATGATAAATCAACCACGTGTAACATCAAGAAACATTTTATAAAAAAATCTCCTGTACAATAATATGCACAATGAGTTTTTTTTCCAATCTATACATCTGCAGCCTTTATACAGATCGCGTGCAGCATGCACATACTCGCAAGCACCATCAAATCAGTGCCCTCCACTAATTTGTATCAATGTGTCTGTTCAATGCGGGCGCTTGTCATATGCAACCGATTGTATTGAAGGAACTGGTCCCGTATTCGTTTTTTCTTTCGTTTTCTATTGCTCATTCTTGGCAAGCATAACATGTTTTTGTTTTGTGCTTGATTGAATAAAAAGAAACGCTTGCAGTGTAATCTGTCAAAGCATATGTGAATGTCACTTTAAGTATCTGATTTGTATTTTTGTTTAGTTGTCAGTGTTTTTTCAATTGTGATTTCAATAATTTATTTTGTATTAATTGAATTATCAAAATGGCTTTTGTGTTATAGCAAATGAATTGTTTTGAAATGCATACTACCTTACAAGCCTGAGCAATACTTGTTTTGGTATAATACTAAAGCAACTTGTCGCGTACAGGTCAGAGATTATTTTTATTCGTAATTTGTGTACAGCTATTAATGAGATGTCTGTTGTCAGGTGTTAGAATGAGCCCATAGCCTGATATACATGACACGTTGCATTGGAAGTCAGTTGGTGTGCAAGCAACTCCTGGTTCTATGCTATAATGCTAAATATCGTATATCAACAGGTAAAACATGGTCTATACCACAATTTTACATAGCATTAATTTTCATAAAAAATTACATATTTTTCATATTCTTCTAGCATCAACTAGGTATCGGTTTGACAATAACTGCGAGTTATGTGTAGCATGTCTGTCACGGTCTCAGAATATAACACCCGAGACTGCACATGGTAAATCTACTGAAATACTTCCTGACACCTTAAAATGTCATGAATAAGTGAAAATGTGATAGTAGTTTCTGAATTGTACAAAAAGCGACAGCAGACCACATCATTTCTCAGCACGCTTTTCAGTTTATATATTCTGTAGTAAAACATTTCCACGTATTTTACTACTTCTGAACATTCGTGAGTATATGTATTCCAAACCTGTGTGGATACGTAGTAAAAGTAAGATGTTTCTTGGCTGCTGGCTCGGAAGGGAATGAGAGAGCATCGACTAATGGCTATAGTATTCACTAGTATTGTCAATCCTTTAGGCATATATGCAGGTTCGTGTTTATTATTATTAATAATGTTTCTGTTTTTTTACAAAAACACATTTTTGCATTTTAGTTAGTATTGGATAGACGATTTTTACTTACGAGAGCTCTATAACACTTAGAACATTTTAAAAATATCGAAGCACTAATATATACACGATGGGCATTATTTTTTTAGTTCTTCAGTTGGCAAGAGAGAGTCTAATATAATTCGTTATGCTTTTTTCAGATATTATATTTATTAAATTTAAATAGTATCTCAATACTGGAATTGTGTCTCATTTGATCCGTGCAAAATATTCTACCTTATACCTGAGGTCAAATACGGTGATCACAGTGGATGTATATTGAATATTGTAAAACACGATAGACATTAATGATGTCATTATAGGCAGGAAAAGATTGTTTTTAGCAATTACTTTACTGTACACATGAACCTTGCTCTATTTCATATTTAGAACATTAAATCTTGGTGATTGATAACTTCTCTATTGTGTCAAATTGTCCTTAACACATACACTTATGAATACAGATACTACATGGGCTCATGACAGGTATTTCTGAACGGATACAAAACTCTGCAAATGTAGATGTAACTGAATATAATCTATGTGCATTCAAGCATTTACAAAGAATATTCCAGCATCTCTCAACTTGAGAACTAAATAATGCATATTTTTGATTCATATACCAAATGGTCGATTTATGAAAAAAAAGTAAATGAAACCTCTTGCCATGGTAATATCATTTTTTGGAAATGCTTCTTCAACAATTGTAGACGAGTTGATATTCTGTATATTAATACAATGCAAGATGACACCACAAATTAAGGACAATTTTGCATGATTCCTTTGAAAAGAGATTGCCCTTCAGAATTGAAGTGATTAGCTTCTTCCCCATTGTCAGTGTCATTGTCTGATTCGTAGAGAGTATACACTTCTCTGAACCTAATTTGGTATGTCTTTTGAAAATAGGAAATTAGAATAATGTCGATGTGTAAATGAGTTGTATCATTAGAAGACATAATATAATATGGTTGCGGTATCAGTCTGAACACCTATTTTGCACCTGTGATTGAGGTTTACACTATCACAGTGCCTTCTAATGACACTATACTGTCTCTGTCTACTCAACCTGTGCCAAGCTATGCAACACTTACATTCGCTATCTACCACTCCCATCTGGCAAATCAAATCTGCTAATTTTTTGACAGTTATCTGCCACAATATCTACCTAGTATGGTAATAAATGATCATCACTTACAATGAATTAATTCAGGTATCAAAATTTGCAACTGGTAAATAATACAGAACACACAAGTGTTTTCATTCATTTTATAACTATGTAGACAGAGTCATGTAAGACAATCTCGTATAGTTAGTACCAGAACAATTGTGATAGTTCACTAAACATTTTGCAGCAAACAACTAAATTCTGTTGAACAAGACACTGAAAATGCATTTTTTATAGGCTTTTTTTTAAATTACGATGCAGCATTTAGGAATGATTTTTTCTCGACATTATTAAACAACTAAATATTCAGGTTCGGGTTTAATAATTTAATGTTTTTTTGGGGGAATAATAAACATTATATTTTTTTTAACGTGCCCCATAAATGTGCATGAACTGGTCCATGTAATAGTCCAGGCAGTTAAACTTGAGCAAGAAAAAGTTAAACTTGAGAGGAAAAAAGCTGCAGAAGATATAAAACTCGAGCAAAAACGGCTAGATCAACTAGCTGAAATTGAACTCGCAAAATTAAAAGCTGATAGAGAGGCTGTCACAAAATTAGCTCAGCTTGATTTGCCAAGACCAGACCAAGTTTGATTTGCAAAATAATCCAAATTCGTCTCCCTTTGCTACAAACATTCAGTCCCATTCAAACCTTAAAGATAGTAATGACATGGACGTGTATATAAATTGGTTTTAAATTTTTGCTTAGAATTGTGGGTGGAAACGAGACATTCGCGGTGTGGCATTTAGTGGTCAATTAACAGGGAAGGCATTGGCGGTTCATTATGCACTGTTCGTAGACGAGACTCGTGACTGCGACGTGGTCAAGTGTGTTATGCTGAAGGCGTAAGGGTTGACGGAGGAGGGATATCGTATCAATTTTCGGCAGGCGCGTTCGACAAAATTTGAGACTGCAAGGCAATTTATGGTTCGACTTCAGCACTACTTGACACAATGGATTAATATGGCATGTGTTGTGAATATTGTTGAAGCGCTGAAAGACTTGTTTGTGCGTGAACAGTATTATAGCACATGTAGCCCTGAACTGTTAGTGTTCTTAATGAAACACCAGTGTCAAGACTGGAATGAAGTTGCAAAATTTGCTGACCTCCGGAATGAGGCATGATATTATACTTAAAATCATAGTAAATCTACAGCTGAACGTAAGTTTGATAAGACAGCTAACACCACCCTGAAATCGCAAACACCATCAGTATTGAGCAAAGCAGAGAAAGGGTACACACCGGGCATAAGCGGAAAGACTGTCATTCCATATTTGGGCAAGATGGGAAATTATTAACAGTCGCTTGTAGAGTGGAGGTGGAAAATATTACCCCTTCCCTTTATTCCTCGACAACTGCCACATCGACGTGCATCATTATATCACATGTAACTACCACCAACACATATTCAACATGTCAACCTGCTGACATATTTGTCACATGTTCAGAGGTGACAGAACACGAACTCTATAAACAGGTTGCGAGACTATAACTGCCCACTGCTGAGGGCATGGTCAATATACAGAAAGTATCAGTACTACGAGATACATGGTGTTCTGGGTGTGTTATTCGAAAGGACCTGGTACGTCCCTCACAGTTCACCAGTAGACATCATACTTGTGTACTAGCTGATGGTACATAAATACGAGGCCCTGAAGCAGAGCTGGAGGTCCGCACTCCTTATTACACTGGAATTGTCAAAGTTGTTTGCATGACCAGACCACTCGTTGATGTGCTGATTGGCAATGTACTGGGAGCAATGGATGTTTACACTTCATGTGAGCGGCATTGTGGTACTTGTGAGCGGGATAGTGGAGGTGAAATTCCTAGTGACGCGAATGTCACTAAATCAAAACATTCAGGTGAAATTACTAATGACATTAGGGCATGACTCCATCTTGGGGGACATCTGGGCGTACAGAAAACACAAGATAAAATATTTTCCCAATTCTACTGGCCAGCGATGCATGGTGACATTAAACGGTATTGTCCGTCATGCGACTCCAGCCAGCGAACAGTACCCAAAGGTTGAGTTAGAAAGGTTCCACTTAGCCCCATGCCCCTGATTGATATTCCATTCAAACAGGTTGCCGTGAAATTTGTTGGGCCAATTCAACCAATTACTACTAGTGGGTGTCAATATATACTCACAGCGGTTGCTTATGCGAACCGTTATCCTGAAGCTACACCTCTAAAAAGGATATCTAATGAAGAAGTAGCAGAAGCACTGGTTACTATTTATAGTCGTGTTGGTATACCTGAACAGGTTCTCACTGATCAAGGTCATCAGTTTGTTGTTGATGTTATGCAGGAGGTTAGTAAACTTCTGTCAATTAAACGGCTTATCACAACTCCATACCACCCACAAACAATGGCCTATGTGAACGTTTTAATAGTGTTCTTAAGTCCATGCTCAAACGCATGCGTAGAGCGACCAAAGGATTGGGATCGTTACATAGCACCATTAATTTTTGCATACAGCGAAGCTCCACGAGCTAGTTTGAGGTTCTCCCCATTCGAACTGTTGTACGGGAGAACAGTAAGGGGACCAATTACCATCTTGCAGGAGCTATGGACAAAACCAACCCAGAAATTAAGGGTACATATGAATCCGTCACTGACCTACAAAATCGACACACAGAACTGAGCAAGTTAAGTGATTGGGATACTGGCCAGTGATGCATGGTGACATTAAACGGTATTGTCCGCCATGCGACTCCTGCCAGCGAACTGTACCCAAAGGACGAGTTGGAAAGGTTCCACTTAGCGCCAAGCCCCTGATTGATATTCCATTCAAACAGGTTGCCGTGGAATTTGTTGGGCCAATCCAACCAATTAATACTAGCGGGTGTCAAGATATACTCACAGCGGTTGCTTATGCGAACCGTTATCCTGAAGCTACACCTCTAAAAAGGATATATACTGAAGAAGTAGCAGAAGCACTGGTTACTATTTATAGTCGTATTGGTATACCTGAACAGGTTCTCACTGATCAAGGTCATCAGTTTGTTGTTGATGTAATGCGGGAGGTTAGTAAACTCCTATCAATTAATTGGCTTATCACAACTACATACCACCCACAGACAAATGGCCTATGTGAACGTTTTAATGGCGTTCTTAAGTCCATGCTCAAACGCATGTGTAGAGCGACCAAAGGATTGGGATCGTTACATAGCACCATTAATTTTTGCATACAGCGAATCTCCACAAGCTAGTTTGAGATTCTCCCCATTCGAACTGTTGTACGGGAGAACAGTAAGGGGACCAATGACCATCTTGCAGGAGCTATGGACAAAACCAACCCAGAAATTAAGGGTACATATGAATACGTCATGGACCTACGAAATCGACACACAGAACTGAGCAAGTTCAGTGATTGGTATAGGGTCAATTTTGACAAACGTACAAAGGCCAGATCTTTCATCACAGGCGAGATGATACTGTTGTTGCTTCCTACAGCTCATGATAAGCTGCTGCGGATGCAATGACAAGGACCATACCATGTTAAAGAACGAATCGGGCGGAAAGATTACCGTATGGAAAAGGATGGTATAGATAAACTGTACTATGCCAATATGTTGAAGAAGTATGAGATAAAAGACTCTACTGATGATAATGCAAAGACAAACATACACACTGATTATTCAACTGTGCTAAAGAACACGCCCATGTGCGTGTCTACTGGCTTGATTGAAGTCCCATCTAATGACCATGGCTTAGAAGGTCCAGAGCACATTAATGGGGACTGGATAGAATTAGTCCCCCTGCACGGTAAAGACACTTTCAGGATGTGCATTTGGGCTCTGAACTAATCGACTCCCAGGTTGAATAAGTGAATATTGAGGGATATTGAGGGAATATACTGCTACACTTACAGACATACCAAGAAATCAAACATCGGTTGTCATGACTTACAATTGACGTCAAATGACCCTATACGTTCTAAGCCACACAATACACTTTTTGCAACACGTAACAGTGTAATTAAGGAAGTACGTAATATGATGGAACTGGGAATCATTGCTCACCTATTGTGTATATTAAGAAGCCTGATGGAAGTCCTCGGTTTTGTACAGACTTCCGAAAGCTCAATAAGATAACAATATTCGATGCTGAGCCAATGTATAACCCAGAAGAATTATTTGCACAATTGGCCAATGGTAATTACCTGATCAAACTTGATCACACCCCACTTGGTCTTCTCCATTATCGTTACCTCACATTTGGACTTGATATTATTGTCCCAGTGTGTTCAACCGCACTATGCAAACAGTTTTGATGGGTACTGAAGGAGAGGTTGTTAGTTTAGTGTATGATATTTTGATATATAGCAAGACTTGGCAATCCCATGTGAAGAGATTCAAGGATGTATTGAAGGCGGGCTTAACGCCTAAACCATCAAAATTCTATATTGGTTTCACTCAGCTTGAATTGTTTGTCCATGTAGTGGGGCGAGGCCAATTGAGGCTAGTCCCAGAAAAGGTTTGTGCATTGCAGAATGCTCCGCAACGCCTGACAATAACAAACATTAGATCATTTGATGTTGCATTTCCAGTGACGTATGCTAGCCGGAAGGTGGGCCACGCAGAGTCGCATTATGCGGTGATTGAAAAGGAATGCCTTGCCATAGTTTGGTTGAATACAAATGTTTAAACCAAACCACAAGCCTCTAGTCTATAGAAAAACCTCTAGATTTGCTAATAGCCGAATTATGCGATGGGCCATGATACATTTTCAATTATTTTGGGCCATATATCTTCAATTATTCTACCATCGAATAATAAGGATAAGGGGTAATCATAATCTTGAAGTAGATTATTTAAGCAGAAATCCTAGTACAATAGTAGTACAATAGCCAATATGGTGTTGAATGTATATAGTAAATGATTGTTGTTTTGTGTTGTAGTTTCCCTGATCCATGACATCAATGATTTTATTGTTGACGTAACCATAATACCATATTTAACGGCATAGTTACATCTTAGCATGGACGTGGATTCAAATCCCACTTCTTATCCCAAAATGTCATGAGGTCACTGGGTCTAATATTAGCCCAAAATACGAAATAGTATGCAATACTTTTACCAACTCGTGTGCTGGTGTTTGGCCAATATAAAAATACACAATTCGTGTAACACAGGTATAATTTAGACTGATGGGCTCCAGTAGAGTTCAATACAACTATATGCACATATATGCAGCAATAATGCACACCGGCCAATCTTACACATACGACACTACACATGAATTACGTGAAACAATAGTTTATTAGGTACACAACACATATGCTTGCTACAGTTCTCTCCGTCAGTATCGCCCGCCCCTGCAGAGGTTCAGCACAACACGCGACCCTGCCCACGCACCAACGCAACTATATTATTGGTAAGAGGTGGAGGATACGACATTTTGCATTGTAGACACCACAGCAAAGTTAGTAAACACCCTACGACCAGGGAAGGAACAACATACCCTATTAGTCACGTATATCAGTGCCATGCACTTCTAAAATGTGACATAAATAACATGGCCAGGAATAGAACAATTCAAGATGTTATCAAGATAATATAACAACTCAAAGCCAAGGACTAACTAGTGTGCGTGTAGGAATGTTCGGTACATGACGTTTCCCGACGTTCGTCGAACAGTGTCAGTCGGCGGATTCGCTCGGTGAATTATAAAAAAGGCCAGCGACAGTAGTTGCGATTTGGGCTGTTAATAGATTTATAATATAACAATGAATTAATAAATACAAAATTACATCTTGCGTGTATAATGCATAATAACTAGTGTGTCCTTTTAATATAATACAGTTTTTGATATGATACAAACACCTCGTGACAACATCAAATATTTTCAGCAATGTCTATCTTCAAAAACATATCTTGCATTGCTTAAATACAAATATATCGAGACAAAAATACTGTTATTATACCTTATAAAAAGTCAGTTAATCTATATAACCATTTGTTTCAGCAGCTGACATTAATGAACTAAATTTGGAATTCGTATTAGCCAAAAGTATTGAAGGTTTATCGAACTCAACAACCTGGAATAAAAAAAGAATTCATTGTCAGTAACACTCTTAGTGTTTAATCGTCTTCACACTGAATGATGGAATGATTACGCGCGTAAGCGTCCTATAATAATAAAAACAAACATGGCTGCCACCAGGTTTGACCGGAATCCTCAAAAAGTTCGCTGATTCTGTTTTGGATTTCGGCATTCCCATGATGTATACAAGTGCTTGAAAAGAAAAGATATTTAATAATAAGGGTATTACGGGGATATCTAAAGTATGCACGTCGGTCGATACTCCCGCTTCAGTCAATAATGTATTCGTGCATACTTTGATGTATCTTCGCAATATCCTCATATTATTTTACGGATACACTCTGTCTAACTCCATTCCTAACAGTATGTACATGACAAAGTATTCACATTGATTACAATATGTTGCTGTTTACCTTTCCCTTATCCATGACCATAATTTTATCGAAATTTAATACAGTGTTTAGCCTGTGTGCTATTATCAACATAGTACAATCTTGAAATGCGTCTCTTATTGTTTGTTGTAAAAGACTATCAGTCGCTGTGTCAATGGAAGCAGTGGCCTCGTCCAGCATGACTATCTAAGAGTAAAACATAACAATACTAATATTAATAACATTTAAATTCATGTCTCACTCACTCACTCACTCACTCACTCACTCACTCACTCACTCACTCACTCACTCACTCACTCACTCACTCACTCACTCACAACTCACTTACTCACTAACTAGCTCACTCACTCACTGAAGTTACTATAACCGCGGGATTCTAAACTGTGAATCAGTCACTAACCTATTTATATTCCAATTGTGTCAAATGATATCAAAATATGTATGTAATGATTAATTTCATTAAGTTGATTGATCTAAAAAAGATATCCTATATTTCTCTCAACCAACGACAACAGCTTCTTAGGCATTTACCCAGAACAGTTGTAAATATACGACTGAAATTTACTCAATGCAAAACATCTTATTGTGTGCAATCTGGTGCAAATACCACCCAGTACTATAATAATATCCTAACTAATATGTAAATGCATTCATGTGGTCTAATACATTTATGTTTTCAGAAAATTACTGAATTACTGAAATTAACACAGTTTATCACATGAACTAGCTCACGAAGTCCCTAGACGAGAACGCAATGCTGAATTAAATGTCATTACCTTAGATTTTCTGAGCAATGCCCTTGCCATGCACAGTAGTTGTCTTTCACCAACGGAAAAGTTTTCACCATTTTCAACAACAGGGGCATTCAATTTATATTCCAATTCTCGCACCTATAGTTAATATACAACACGAGGGATGGAGTAAATGCATCAACAATACAGTTTGATAGTATATAAGTATTGTACGAATTTGGCAAGATCAATTTTTTTAAATTAACATCATTTTATATTACTAATTAATTCCAGGCTGACATTTTTGACCAGTTGGAATACCCCATTTCAGGTTTGTTTCTATAAAAATACTCAACACTCAACACTCATTTTTGCAATTAACTATTGTTCCTAATACAACCGCTGATTGTAGTTTTTTTTCAAAATTATGTTCGGAGCCAAAAGTTTCTAGGAATATAATGCAATTCAGTATGCAATTTTAATGAGAAAAAAGACGCTCACAACACGCTTATCTTGTGGAAGACTTTATGTCCCGAATAACCCATCGTACTATAATCTTGTATATATTGTGTGGATGACCTTGTATCATGAACACATCATCTCTTGTGTGGATTTGTATTCCTTGACAGCCAATGAAGTTGGAAGGCCTTATGCGTTTATATCTTACTATATTTGCCAACTGATGCTATTGTTCGCGTGTACAAATCCAAACAGTCCGAAAAAATTAAGCTAGGAAATATTGCAAATGAATTATTGTGACAGAACTCTAGTTCTTCAGAAGGTATATATTTATTGATCGTTAACATTTAAGCTTGAGTGGTTGCATAGGCTGAGGCTTACAAATTTCGGCTCATTGATAGAACAAGATAAACTACTGTTCCCAGATTATTTATGTACACATTCAGGTAGTTGTAAATTCAGCTTACGGATGCTCACCTAGTTACTGTTCAGGGACGCTGTTTAGAGCAGGCTTCTCTGAATCGTACTAAGTTGTTTGTGAGTTTGAATCTAATGTGTGCGCATTTATATGTTCGTAATGTGAGATTACCGTGTCTTTCATGTAACACTTTTCCAAAGCTGACCAAACTTCATCATCAGAATATTGTTTAAATGGATCCAAATTATATCTACAATTTGAGAAACACATACTCTTATAGTTGGTTTGGTATTGAGTCAAATACCCAGTTAGAAATAATTGCAATTGATCAAAATACTCATGGCTGTATCATGTATTATTCATAGAATCAAACCTGACAGTTCCAACAAACAAAACAGGATCTTGGGCAATTATTGTCAATCTTGATCTTAAATCTTGTAATCCTAGAGTCGCTATATTAATACCATCAATATATATAGCACCGGAGTTTAGCTCCCTCAGACGAAAAAAACAAGCACCAAGGGAAGATTTTCCTGTAATTAAAGAAATGTTGTTAATGTATTAATGTATGTATTTGTTAATGTATAACATATGCATGTTAATTCAAGCTTTTGCGTTCTCTCACACACACACACATATATATATATATATATATATATATGTTCTATTTTTATAGAAGAACGTTCCCAAGTAAAAGAAATTCTAAAATTTAAAAACATAAGAGGTATTCACTAAACCATATACTATCACACTCAAGCAAGAGAATAGACATGTTGGTGAACTTGCCTTGCACTGTGAGTGTTTTATTGTTCACAAATAAAAAAAAGTAAAAAAAAAGAACTGCAGACCTCACTTCTTTATATTTTTGTGTGGGCCAGCCAAGTTTCCACATACAAAAATACACATACTATTTCAATTTAATTTATTTTATTTTATAATATTGTCACTGAATTCTTTAAACTAAATTTACCATTTACAAATTAATATGTTGGACACTATATAATCTTAATATTTTACAATCCATATCCTTATATTTGAATCTGTTTCAAGACATTTGAAAAATATATTTTAGAAGCACAACAATGCAACGACAAGATTTGCAATAATTAGACTAGCCAGCAATAATTAATAAAGCTTGTTCAGAATACCATCTATTCCGGACATCATATTCAATGGCTAGTTCTCAGGATATACAGCAGTGAATACATAAACAGAAATCATTTTGATGCCATGTTTTTAGACGACACCGCCATATCGAATTTGGATTTGGACCATACCATTTCAAGCTGCAGGGTGTCTAAACAATGACTCAACAAACAATAAACACATCTTCCACCCACCACACACATTTTAGCCATAATTAAACAACCAAGAAAGCAACAAATATCAGGCTGCATCCTGAAAACAACAATATATCGCATTACAACCAGTCATTACAAA